TCTAAACCAAAGTCGTAGAGTATGTTAAAATGAGAAAATCCGTAAAAAGAACGCCCAAATCTGACTTCGTATGAGGAAGTTATGATTTTTCAAAGTTTCAGCTTAGTAGTGTACAACCCGAAACTCGAATTTTAGTTCGAGCGGTTTCTGGCTTACGTGACCTAAATGAGAGTTAAAGATCTCAATAATAGGAACTCAACAGTAAAAAGATGGACGAAAACGGAGTTCGTATGAAAGAGTTACGAATTCTTCGCGGTCATTTAACAGTCTAAACGCCTCCTACTGTTAAATTTATGATCGGTCGAGAATTAGCCGACGGAGCCAAAATGAAAGTTGTAGATATTATTTTTACCTACGCATGGATATAAAGAACATCGAAAACGGAGATAGTATGAGATAGATATAGACGAAGCTTAGTCGCTACTTTTCGAGCGCGGCGAATTCGATACAGTTTTGTAAATCCGAAATAGAATGAGAATTAGCCAACGAGGTCTAAATAAGAGTTGAATATCTCATTAATAGGAACTCAACGGTAAAAAGACAGACAAAAATGGAGCTCGTATGCGAAAGTTATGGACGAAGCTTAGTCCCTACTTTTCGAGCGCGGCGAATTCGATACAGTTTTGTAAATCCAAGATAGAATGAGAATTAGCTAACGAGGTCTAAACGAAAGTTGAAGATCTCATTAATAGGATCTCAACGGTAAAAAGACAGACAAAAACGGAGCTTGTATGCAAAAGTTACGGACGAAGCTTAGAGGCTACTTTACTATAAAACTCCTATAAATACAAGGGTGAACTCCTCATATTTTCTTCACACCATAAGCCTCTCTTTCTCTCTCTAACTTCTCTCTAGCCTCCCTAAACCCCTCCCAAGTCTACGGAACCTCCCTATCACGAGAAGAAATCCCCAGAGCGCCCGACGGCTCCGAGAAGAAAAGCTTTCGGCTCGGAAACGCTGCTCCAACGAAGCCCGGTTTTTAATAAAAACCCATTGTAAGTGAGTTATGCCTATACTATATTTAATATATCTTTTATTTAATTATAGTAACATTATTAGGACCTTAAAATAATTATTTGGGCTATTATTATGAGTTATATTGAGTGTTATTTAACGCTTATATAATAGTAATAATAGCTAGACTATTAATTAGTCGTGGTTAACGTTAAAAACTAAACCCTAGTGGTATTGATACTAGGTTTTGTCGAGGAAAATTGTTTTAAGATAACGAAGTTTTGTCTGAGTTCGGAATCACCACCTAATCAGGTGAGTGCATAGTCCCTCTCATCTTACACATAGATATGAAGTATTTAATATAAACTACGTGCTATGTGTGCATATTATCTGAATACTTGCTGTCTATGTTGGATGAACGTTTTATACATGTTTTAAAGGATTTAAACTGTATACATATTTTATATATACGAATATGTGGGGTATGATGATGGGTAGATAGATGATGAGAGATAGAAGATGACGTGAGTATACATTGGCAGCTATAGACTTAGTGCCTATGGGACAAACACCGGTAGCTATGGACTTAGTACATGTCAGACGTTGGTAGCTATGGATTTAGTACCTATTAGAAATTGGTAGCTATGGACTTAGTACCTATTAGTTAGACACTGGTAGCTATGGATTTAGTACCTGTAGGAATTGGTAGCTATGGACTTAGTACCTGTTGAACGCTGGTAGCTATGGATTTAGTACCCGATGAGTAGGATATAGCAGCTATGGAATTAGTGCTTTACGAACTAACATCGGAAGCTATGGATTTAGTGTCAGTCCCATAACCCTGGAAGTAAGGGACTTCGGAATAAACAAATGCAGGATAGACGACTCTTAGGTTAAATCCTTAAGAGTAAAGAAGATAACGGGGATGGGTAATGGGGTTAATTGTTTGATGATTAAGCATAACAATTATATTATTGTGGGTTGAAAACCCTATGTACTCACCAGGTTTCCCAACCTGACCCACTCAGTTTATGTATATCACAGGTGTTGATATGAAGTCACTTTACACTGAGAGATTTAAAGAGATGTAGATCACTAGTGTAAATAAATGTAAGTTCTGTTTATGCTTATGTTTCTGTATTAACGATGACATCCCAAACGTTTTAAGATGAATAAAAATACGTTTCTTCGAAAATGTTTTAATAACGTATTTATCGTGTTTTTTTGGGAACAAATTCTGCAACCTTTTTATAAAATGAAGTACTCTGATTTTTATAAAGCATAAACAAAAATCGGTCTTTTCTGGCCGTGATTTTGGGGATGTCACACACTTTGATTCTATAAATGAAACACTAGTTGACGAATTCCCAAATAATTTTGCTTTTTATCATGAAAGGTATTATTATTTTCATTTCCATATGTTACCCCTCTCCCCATTACATGCACGCTTCTTCTCAGCTATAGAACTTAATCAAGTTATAAAAGCTTAATAAACCTAGGTTTTAACTGTTTTGGAGCCTGTTCTATTCCATTTTGTGCAACTAAGTCACTAATTCATTAAACAAATATTGAATCCTATTATTGAAGGGTTTTACCTCATAGAAATATATGAGGTTTTGCAGGCACGAACCTGACACAAACATTACTGATGACACAATGAATGGTAGTTTCATCATAGTTTGATGCGAAGTATTACTGTTTGATCCCACATTTTTTTGCATAGACATTATTAGTGTGTGATCCCATGTTTTTTGCATAGTCTTTATTGTCAAATTTGAATAAAAATGCACATTGCAATTAGTGTTTTCTATAATCTTTTGGAGTTATGAGAACCTACTCAACTTTATTGTCAAATTTGAATAAAAATGCACATTGAAAGTCAGATTGTGGATATCAAGAAAGAAACAGTCTTCATCAAATTTGAATAAAAATTCACATTGAAAGTTAGTGTTTTGTTTTTTCTATCGCCGATCTGTTGTTGAAATTGGCACTACTTAATTCCAGTTTCACGAAATTGGTGTAAGTTTCCTTCCCTCCCAAATTTGCTTTATCATTCTGGAGTAAGTTCCATCCTCTGTATTAACCTAATTTCATCCTCTCCGTTCAAACAAATGACGACACCACTCACCATTGCGGCTTCCGATTCCGGTAACCGCCACACCGACCATAAAATCAAGCAAACCTAAAATTAGTCTTCGTCAACTTCAGATTCAGGTAAATCTCTTGATTTTCTTTGCTTTAGTCGTATGTTAGGTTAGGTTTAGTTCAGCTTCACAATAAATTATGTCTGGTATAATTTCCCCCATTCTTTTCTTTTTTCAACTATCATCCATCTCATATCTCAGCATTACTTGCACGAATCACCTTAAATCATATTCATATAAAAGGCCTTCTTCCTTATCAAAAAGTTAATTTCTAAAACCTAGAGTTGTTTCCTTACTTTGGTACCCTAGGTATGACATCAATTGCTAATTATCTCTTTGAGGCCATCTATGTATGCTTCTTCACAAGGTATCTACATCATGTAATTAATACATTCAAACATTTAACTATAATATCAATTGATCATTTAAGTGGAACATACATGTAAATAGTATTATTCACTACTGAAGATACACAGACCTGTAAATAGTATGCATGCTCCAAAACGTCTATGCTAACAAGAGGAACCAAACTTGCACCATTTTTAACCAGAGGTCCTGCATCACAACCAAATACATGCTTAATGATCTAATCTATCAACTGTAATTTGTAAATATTGAAAAATCTACATAATTTATTCAGTAAAAGGCTCAATAGGATTTGTTATGATCTCATTTATTACCATGTGGAAGTATCTCCTGAGACGGAGATTTAGGAAGGGATGATTTTGTGTTTCAACCATATTTTGACAATACTATGTTATTAAGGTTGTCCAACTTGGAAGATAATGTTAAAGATATTTTGTTTGCTTTTTTGTTTTTTTCTAATTTCTATCCCTTTTTTAGTTAGAGTGTTTGGGATTCCAATTGGACATTCAAAGTATTAATAAAAATGATTATTGATCAATCTAACGATTATTAGGTGTAGTTTTTAATTTTAAAGGTTGTTTTCTACGTTAACCTTCATAATGATTCAAAATAACTTGTTGTATAATGTTTAATTTATGGTTAGTTTTTTGCTTTTGTCTGATTTCTGACAAACTTTTATCTTTTGTAGTTGACCAGAAAATGATTCCTTGTATTTGAAAGAGTTGGGCATGAAGTTTTTTAACACATTTTTTTTGTCCCATGAAAATTGCAAAATGATGTAAATACCTTCATCAAAAACAAAACCTTACCCATGTGACAGGTAAATCAGCAAAATTGAACTTTGAAAGTTGTCAAAAAGGGAATGTTTGTGATTTTTCAAGGGGTACATGGGGTATAACATTTTAATTTTGGCCTATGGTTAGAGGGGCATGGTGGTAATTTTAACTTGTGGTTCTCAATTAGGGCTTTCTAGTCCAGGGTCTCTAGTAGCTATTGTGTTAGCTGGAATTTCCTTCCTTATATACAACATATATAAGAATATCAAAGCGCATAGAAGGTAAATTGTTTATGGATTCCCGTATTATTCATTGGAATTGGAGTTGAAGATTCTATTCTTTTGAGGTTTGCCAATTTTAAGCCAATTTTAGGTTGCTACGTTCTTTCATCATCATGGAAACACAAAAGCTTTTTCTGAATATATATATATATATATATATATATATATATATATATATATATATATATATATATATATATATATATATTATTCCACTCAAAAACATGTGTTCCTAAGTATCAGTCTTAGGAGAAACTTCTTGATTAATCAAATCTTTTGCATACTTCTTGATTAATCAAATCTTTTGCAGCATTTGATATGTCAATCACAACTTTGCATGCTGGAATAATTATACTTAGTGCATAGTCCCTTGCAACTAATGGTTGTTGATTCGAAAAAACAGCAACATCCTACAAGATTGTCAAAAAGACGTAAATACCCTCATCATTGGAAAATGGAAATGGCCAAGGAAAACTCATCATACCATGTTTGCTTTATGATGTGACAGATCAAGAGAGTTTCAACAATGTAAAACAACCTAATCTTTAGTGAAATTGATCGTTATGCTAGTGAGAATGTCAACATGCTTCTTGTTGGAAACAAATGTGATCTCACTTCTCAGAAAGTCGCGTCTTATGAAATTGAAAAGGTAATAAATAATGTTATTTTTTTTAAATAGTTTAAGTGAATGAAAAATACTAAAAAGAGTTAATTATGTAGGCATTTGTTGATGAGATTGTGATTCCATTCCATGAAACAAGTGCTAAAAGTTCCACCAATGTAGAAGAAGCTTTTATGGCTATGACTGTTGAAATTAAAAACAGGTTTTTTATTTCATTTCTTTATAATCATAAAAAAAATTTAAAAAAATAACAATCATAATAAGAGTAAAGTATGTTGTTATTTCTTGCAATTTGCACTGATAAAATTTAGTGAATTATATCCAGGATGGCAAGTCAACCGTCAATGAACAATGCTAGACCTCTTACTTTTCAGATCCGGTGTCAACCAGTCAACCATTATTTCTTTTTTAATTTCCAGAATAATTTTGATAAGTAGTCTCTTAATTTATCCTAAACCTGTTTCAGCTAATGAGCGTGTGCATCCTCTAGGGAACAATGGAAAAGACTTTTGATCAGTTGTTAGGGACATGCAAGTTTAATTTCTAATCCAATAGATTGTAGTTAATTTCTTATGCCCGGTCTTATAATTGATTCCATGCAGTAAAAGAGGAGTCAACAAGAAAGTTCTTATAGTCCCTTTAATAGAAAATAAGGTAAATTTCTTCCTTTCTTTCGCCTTTATCATTTATATTTTTTTTAAAATATTTACCTCACATTTATATATAGTGAATTCTCTATGTATTGACCAAAGTTTGACTACTCTTCAATGTTGTAAATTTATCTTTAAATTATAGGAAAATCTTTTTTTAATGATTATTTTATCTTTTTTGTGTGCTTGGACATTGTCCAAGTTTCAATATACTGATTAAACAGGGAGGGATCAGTGGAATAATGGAAGGAAGAAGTCTCAAAGTCTTATGTTTGCTGCCAACTGGGACTGGTGAGTTTTTTAAAGATTCAATCGACCATTTTGATACATAATATTGTATTTCAATTTACTTAATTTATTTCTCTTAAGGAGTGTTTTGTATGAAGGGTTTGATGTAATGATCCATTATGTTACCTTGTTCATTCCCTTCCTTTGTCCATTCCATTCCGTGTAGCCAAATATTGGGTGTATATGTAACTCAAAATTTTAGTTGATGTCAACTGCATTTGTGCTGATAAAAAAGGCAGTTGCATGCAATCAGAGAAGGGCCACTGGCAAAACCAATTTGATGTTTATTATCATTTTCTTTTTAGTTGAAATCGAAATTTAATTCCATTCATGTCCCATATTTGGTTTCAAATGAGTAGACACTAATCTCCTTTTCATCAACAGAAAAACATTGTTTCCAACAAAGACCCCATATCTAGCAAAAAACAAGAAGACATCAAGCAACCAAGTCTCCTTCCATTGCAGAAAAAACTAAGTGGAAATTGGTTCTCCTAATTCCATGGGATTGAACGGGAATTGGAATCCAATTCCATTCTGATCCCTCTTTTGGATGCAAGATATCAAGCAACGAAGGTGTATGCAGAAATGCAAAATTTGAGAGGAATTTTATAATTATAGTACATTATACTTTGAAATCAAATATCAATCAATGTTAAACTTTGATATTTGATGTTTATGGATGTTTTTGTAAACTTTGATGGTTTAATTCTTTTGGCATTTTATTGTTAAAGTTTTGTTTTAGATTGCATAATTATTGTTTTTGGTATTTAAATGTTAATATTTGATTTGAGATTATATAATTATTTGATTTTTTGGTATTATTTTGTTTTAGCTTCAAAACAAACAAAAATATGATATTATGTATTTGCAAGGGATTAGCTACGCGAAAAAAAAAATCACATCTTAAAATTTGGAGTAAATTACACGAATGGTCCCTATGGTTTGGGGTAATTTACACGTTTGGTCCCTAACTTATTTTTTTAACTCGGAAAGTCCTTACTATTTGTTTTTGTTACGCCATTGGTCCCTATTGTTTGTTTTTGTTACACCTTTGGTCTCTATCTTACCTAAAAAGACTATTATTTAAGTAGGGAAAATGATAAGGTAGGTAAGGTAAGGTGAGATGGATGAAGTTGGTGGTGTGTTTATTTAAATTAATTAAAAAATCAATGGCAAAATAGTTTTTTTAGGTAAGACAGGGACCAAGCGTGTAACAAAAACAAACAATAGGGACCTTCCGAGTTAAAAAAATAAGTTAGGGACCAAACGTGCAAATTAACCTAAACCATAGGGACCATTCGTGTAATTTACTCTTAAATTTGCTACAGATCAGCGACGGAAAGAAAAAAATCATATCTAATGTTTGAGAGGGATTATCGACGGATTAAAAGGGATTAGCGACGAAATATTGTTATTACGTTTTGTCGCTAATGTTCGAAATAACAGTATTAAGTGCCATTTTGCAACGGATATTCTGTCGTTAAAGTCGTCGCAAGAGAAAACTAACCCATCGCTAAATCCCTCACTAAGCCATTAGCCACCCTTTAATTGTCTATGGAGTAAATTTGTGGTTGATCCGTCGCAAATGATCTTTAGCGGCGGATTTGAGGCGGATTCGTCCGTCTCTAAAACTCATGTTTCTAGTAGTGAAAATTTATACCAGGAACAATCTCGAAGGGAAAAAACAAAGAGAAGCAAAAGTAAAATACTCGAAAAGCATCATAGCAGCATGAACATCTAATATAAGCAAGAGTAAATTACACGAATCGTCCCTCGTCCAGGTGCCAAAAAGCACGTTCAGTCCCTATTTTCAAAAATTAACTCGAACCGTCCCTGTATAATAATTTTTTCACTCGGATCGTCCCTGTGGACATAAAATGACATTTTTACCCTTAATAATTTCTTTTTTAATTTTTCATATGTATTTATCATTTTTAGATTTAGAAAAAAAAAAAAAAAAAAAAAAAAAAAAAAAAAAAATACCCTACCTATCAACCCACCCCTTCCCCTTCGTTTTTCCCCCTTTTCCTTCTACATCATTGAAATCAGGTCTCCAGATGAAGACCACCATCCACCACTCCATCTCTGCTTCTCCGTTCGCCGCCTGTCCACCACCGTCTAAGATCTGCACACCATTCACGAAGTCGCCGACAACCATAAGGTTGTCAGAAACCACAACCACACATCTCTTCTCTTTCTTTCTCTACCACCATTGTAGCAACCATTACCGCCTACATCTGTGTTCGAAACCACCACCTCCTTCATCTGCGTACAACCATCATCGTCTTCTCCCTCACCCTCGCCTGGCAGAAACAGAAGAATGGATCTACTTTTTTGTTCGCCTCTATCTCCATTTGAAACCCTAGAGCGGAGGTACATTCCGTCGGAGTAATATGAGAGGGTTCTGTGTTGAATCAAACTCGACAGAGTTTCAACCTTAAAGAAATCGAGTCTGCCATTACTCACATCTTTGGAAAAAAATCAAATCTAACACCACCTGGAGTGTAGATCTGCGAACAGGTGGTGATGGTTGGTGTTTTCGCCTCTCTTCCTTCGGCTGGTGTTTCTACAAGGCTTGGTGGTCGATGGTGGTGACTTAAGGAACCTTGGGAAGAAGGGGGATAAGGGTTTATCAACGATGTTTTTGAAAGAAAAAAAAGTGGTAGTCAATTGTGGTGTGTGGTGGTCCGGCGGTGGTCAATGGTGGTGTTCAGTTGTCCGGTGGTGGTGATGATTTTGCTTTAGGGGAAAGTGGGTTTAGAAGGGAAGGGGTTAGATAAGGTGTGAAGGATGAAGTTTTTATTTTATTTTGTATATTGTTATTAATTGTAAGAAAAATTAAATAAAAAGGGCAAAATAGTCATTTCATGTCTCGTAAGGGATGAAACGTGTAAATTTAAACTAACGAGGGATGACATGTGCAACTTTTAACCAAATGAAGAACGATCCGAGATAATTTTTGAAAATAAGGACTGAACGTGCTTTTTGGTACATGAACGATGGACGATTTGTGTAATTTACTCTATAAGCAATGAAGCATGAGCATCGAAACTGAAGTGTATTTTAGTCTAAAACTTCAAAATTAAAAAAAAAAAAAAAAAAAAAATCAATAATCGGTTATTTGAGAGTTTGTTGTTCTTTTGATTTATTAATTTTGGAAAGTTTACATTTCATTCTCCTAACTTTACATGTTGTGGTTTGATTTTATCTATGTAAATGATTTACCTAACATGGTTGTTTTTCTCTTCAAATGCAATGTTTGTTATTAGCAGTTTAATTTATACTTTTCACAACGACGTGTTTTATTGTCCTTCTAAGATTAACTAACAAATAAGAGTATACAACATTTTCTAAACATACATATTTTTTGTCAATTAAATAAGTAAATTACAAGAAATATCCCTATGGTTTGCAATATTATTTATACTTGCTCAATATTTTTTTTAACTAGGAATATCCAATGGTTCTCTCTTTATCACCATCTCATGTCACTGCCGCCCACCGCATTGTGAGACTATGAACCTAGCAATAAACTATATGCGAAAGGGAACTATCTGGTGGAAAACGGTATGTCAAAAGGCCGAAAGGAGCTATATTCCGATAGGAACTAGCTAGTGACGCCGCATCGCACGGGTACCCCACAAATATATATAAGTGGTGAGGCTATTGCAATTGAATGTGACTCACTTGACCCACCTAAACAAAAAAAATTGTGTTACAAGTAATTAATAAAAAATTAGAACCTATCTTGAAATTTGTAAATGACCCGCCTTGATTTATTTGTCATGACTTTTAGCCCATCTTTTGTATCTCAATGGTATAATTTTAGTTTATTTCAAATAATGTCCACCAAAAATTAACCGAATACCTTTTAAAATTAAATAAAGAAAAAAAAATACAAACTGAATGTGAATTGCACATTCGTTTCTAGCAAATACACATGACACAATCACACAATAGTAAGGAACGGCCGAAGACAGAAATCACTCCTATTGACCACTCCTATTGATCACTCGATCAAGCCGCATGTTCGCCTCCCTCCGGCCGCCGACAACCTCACATTCACATTAGTCCCGACCCGCGATCCACATTGTTTTCTTCTTCAGATCGATTTTTAACTTTGAAGGTTCTTAATTGTAAACTTGTGATTGATAATGATGGTATTCTACGGTTTTACACTTCTTCTAATCTTCTTCATAGTTACGGATAAATATAATGAAATCAAATGTTCAAGACATAATCAACTTAATACGTAATCTCTAATCTTAGCCCCAATGATAAGAACATCTATTTTGACTTGTGAACAATATGTTTTGTGTGGTAGGTTTCATCACTTCATGTGATATGTTTTAATATAGATTGTCTTTGATTCAATCAATGTGAAATTAATATAGTTTTATTTGATTGTTTTTGTTTCCCAACTTAATGAATATTTTAGTGATATATATTGAAAAAGTATTTTAAATAGTATTAATAATGATAGGATTGTGGACATATATCAAGATATTAGAACTTTTCGGATACAAATGTAATATCTTAAAAAAAAAAAACTGCTTATATGAATCGATCCATTACTAGTATTTTTTTAGGTTGGTTTTGCACAAAATGGCTTATAATCAACATTTTATTGTCTTCATAAAAATAAATTAAAAGGAAAATGGTTAAAAAAAAAAAGTAAAGTTAAATAAAAAAAACAAAACAAGTACTTAGATTCGTAAACCTGTCTAGAAACGAAAGGTGGCGGTGCCATTTTCTTGGGGCTTCCACCCCCTTATTTAACTCTACTAAAATATGTGTATTCTGTCTCCCTCATCCACACATACAAACACACAGCGACTATGTAGCCTGCTTTAGAGAGAGAAAGTGAAGCCAAAAAAGCAGCAATCTTCACGAGCTCCTTTCTTCTTCTCTCTCTATATCTATCCACCTGTATCTATACATCGCCATTAATTTATTAAGGTATCATATGTCACTGCTATTATTGTTGTTATTATTATCGTGAATTATCGTCATCACCACCTATATTTCAGCCATCCCTATTATTCTATTAAAACCCTAATTTTTGTTGGGTGTTTGTGGTTGTGCACGTAAAAGTTTCACGGGTTTTCAGCTCACTTTCGGTATTCTATCCCTATCCCTATCTCTATCTCTTTCACTCTCACTATTCCCCAACCAAATTCAAACAGCTTTCTCCCCAATCCCTGTGATCGCTGTTTTGCCACGTTTGATTTTCATGATTTCTCCGAAGAATTGAAAATCGATTGGATTTTTTTCCCCTGTTTACGTGGATGGTTGTAATGCGAGCTGGAGATTTGAGAGGTTTTGAAGTCCCGAACAGGTTTGCTTTATTAGGGTTATAATTATCAGTGAAGAATCAAATGGATCGATCTGCGCTTACAGTGGGTCCGGGTATGGATTT